CTTCCGATGCCCATCAGCTAACAGAACAAAAAGTGTTAACAATGCTTTATTCGAATACGACGTGCCTGGAATTTAACAGATTAACACAACTTGGAGTTTAGGACCAGGGGGTGAGTGTTATGGGGTAGGTTTATTCACTTTGTATTAACCTCCTAGGCGCCGGGGGTGGTGTTCGTGCCAAGGTCATGTCTGTCGCTATTTGCTCTTAGCTTTTTTGTTTTCTTATTCGTCTCTTTACTCCTGCTCTGTTGTGGCGAAACTAGCAAGGGTCGCCGGGGAGGAGGGCAGCGAAGGAAGCCTAGTAGTAGTCTCCTGTCCTTGAGGAGTCCCAGCCTGACTCGACGAGGCTGAGGGTAGGAGACATGGCGTGAACCCGGGAAGCAGTATATTGCACTGAGCAGATTAATCACGGCCTACTGCACTCCAGCCTGGGCGAAGAAGCGAGGACTCCATCTCAAAAAAAAGAAAAAAAGAAAGAAATTTCTTACAATTGCGTGGTAAGTTCTGGCATTGTTCTTGTGTTGTTTCCATGGGGTGGAAAAGAGGCGGGAGCTTCCAGGTGCTGGTTACGAGCGAGCATGGTTAAATCTGACCATGGCACACTGTGTTGGTGTGCCTCTTGGGGAGGCTTCTTCGTGCCTGGGACCATTTTTAGTAGCTAGTCCTCAGTTTGGCCCGGTTCAAGCCCCGCCTCGGAGTGATTTCTCCACCTCCTACCCTTCATTTTTTTTATTAGAGACAGGTTCTATTCTTGTTACGCAGGGCTGGAGGCCATGCATGAGTGCAATGGCATGATCTTGGCTCACTGCAACCTCCGCCTCCCAGGTTCAAGCAATTCTCCTGCCTCAGCCTCCCAAGTAGCTGGGATTACAGGTGCATGCCACCACACCTAGCTAATTTTTGTATTTTTAGTAGAGACGAGGTTTCATCACATTGGTCCAGCTGATCTGCCTGCTTCAGCCTCCCAAAGTGCTGGGATTACAGGCAAGAGCCACCGCACCCGGCATCATTTACTTTTGGATGTGCTTTGCAATAGTCAGAAGAGACCTGCCTCCAGGCCACCCCCACCTTCTCTCTCCACCTGCAGGCACCTGAGTCCACCTCTGTCTCATCCATCCTGAGTCCAGTGTGGGCTCAGCGATGCTCCTCCTTGCACGCATCTCTCATTTCCTCCTGGGGTCTGTCCCTCAAGATAGCCACTACTGCCACAACTCCCATCTGCTCTTGTCTCAGGTTCCTCTCCAGCTACCAGAAGATTTAAAAAATCTTTTAATTGTTTGGCCTCACTTAGCAACAAGGTCTCAAACTTATGCCCCAAAGTGGCCTTCTGTTCTTCTTTTACCTTTCTCCCACCTGCCCCACCCTGCGTCACCATGGATGTCAGTTTCCTGTACACTCCCCACCCTCCTGTGGATCCTCCCTCGGCCTTCAGAGCCGGTCCCTGCCTCTCCTTCCTGGCTCAGTCCAGTCTCACCCCAGCTGCTCTTCTGTGGGGCTGCGATTGCCACCGTCCTCATCCTGTCCTCTGTGGTCACTTCGCAGCCAGCATCACTTTCCAGCATCATTTGGCTTTTGTCACACTCCTGCTCAGAAGCCCACGTGGGCTTCCTGTGTGGCTTGGACTGGGACCAATCTGCCCCACCCAGTTATCTCGGAAAGACTGTAATTCCCAAGTTGTCTTCAGTCCTCCATTCATATCAACTTATCCCCAGACTGCATTCGCCCAAAGCAGGAAAGCTCTGCTCATGGCCTGAAGGCACAGTGGCCTTCCTCGGGGACTTTCCCAGACAGTTTTGTGCTTGCTCTCACACCAAGACCACCCATGGCCTGTTTCCAAACTCCACATCCCAGACAGCTTGAAACTGTTTTAGGATCTTTTATCAGAATTTCTGCTTTGTCTTCAGAATGGCTCCGTGTCCTCAAATCCCTACAAATTCCCTTTTTGGCTAAATGCAGTTTCTTTGGACAGCTTTCCTTTCTTGAGCTCTGGTTATGGCAACAGCATCAGCCTCATCTTGCATGGCAGCCTCCCCTCGGGCCTTTTGCCTTCCAGCCGCACCCCCTGGTTTTGGCTTTGTATTTGCTGTAGGTCAAGGGCTTTGGCAGCAGATGGCCACACCTGTGGACTCCTCCAGCATGTCCTGGCTGATGCGTTAGGTGAGTCATTTGGCTTCCCTATTTCTCAGTTTCCTCATCTATAAAATGGAGATAAAATTAGAAGTCACCTGACAACCCTGTTGTGGCTCAAGGGGGTTCCTAAGCAGGGAGCAGACTTATCGCGGAGTGGTATTGGGCCTGTGGAGAGGAAGACACAAGAGGCAGGAGTTGGGCTGTGATGCCATCAAGCATAGCAGATACTGATTCCCTGCAGGGAGCTCTGCAACAGAAGTGGCTCTCAGGGCTGTCCTCGGTTGGACCAAGATGGCCAGGACTTTGCAACGTGAGCTGTCCCAGGGAAGAGTGTGACCCTGGCGAGTTGCAGCTGATGGCTGAAGACCGCTTACCACACCCCGAACAACTAGGACACCCAGCCTATCACTGGAGGGGGCTCCCTGGGCCTCTCATCACAGCATCCACCACGGTTGCTGACGTTCACAGGGGCCAAGCACTGGGCTAGACATGGAACGAGACGCGGGTCCCTGACCTCACGGAGCTTCCTTTCTACTGGGAGGGACAATCAGTACCAAACAAGTAAACTCAAAGTATTAAGTGCCAAGATGCAGCCATGTGTTAGCTGTTGGTGGGGTTGAAGTGGCATTTGTCAGGTGTACAAGGCAGATGTTGATCTGTGACAACCTACTCAGGTGGTGTTCTCAAGCTCTTTGGGCCTGCAGACAGAGAGGCTGAAAGGTCTGTAAGCCCTGTGGGGAAGAGGCCCCAAGCCCTTCTTGCCTTAAGAGCTGGGTCCCATGGTAAGCTGGCAATAGGGTTGCAGCAGCTGAGGTCTCCGGGCCTGGATGAAAGGTGGGGTTGCTCAATACAGGGCTTTCGCACACAGCCCTGGAACGCAGAAGCTTTTCCAAGAGTCGGGAGCCCCTGGAGAATCACAGCAGGACTTCCACACGGACTCTGTCCTGGAATTCCTGTAGACAGTGTTTGGATGAGGGCACGCGCCTAGCGTGTCCCCTTGGCCACAGCTCCTTCTCCCACGTTGCTTCTCTTCCTTTGTTCACCCTGGTACCTGGCCCTGGTACCTGGGCTGTCCTCCTCATCAAAGGGATAATTCAAAACTCTGCAGTTGATTTTAAGAAAGTAGGTGAATTTATTGGCTGGGAAAGACTTAATGTAGTTTTGCACTGTAGGTTACTTCTCATTCTTTGTTTGCTTCTGTCAAAATGTAAAAAGGACCTATTCAAGTGGTCAACTGACAGGTCATTACGTACACTTGGTGATAAACTGCTGTTATGTTTTTTGAATGTAAGTCAGAAGGAGCTAAAGAAATTGAGAGTCGGCTGGGCACAGTGGCTCACACCTGTAATCCCAGCACTTTGGGAGGCCAAGGCGGGCGGATCACGAGATCAGGAGATCAAGATCATCCTGGCCAACATGGTGAAACTGTCTCTACTAAAAATACAAAAATTAGCTGTGCGTGGTGGCGTGTGCCTGTAATCCCAGCTACTCCAGAGGCTGAGGCAGGAGAATCGCTTGAATCAGGGAGCCGTAGGTTGCAGTGAGCCGACATCACGCCACTGCATTCCAGCACTACAGCCTGGCGACAGGCGAGACTCCGTCTGGAAAAAAAACAAAACAAAACTGAGTGTCATTGCTAAAACAAAATTCCTCCCAATCCCATCTAACAATTTAGGTAAACAAGTTTCCTCAGTGCTAGCAGAAAAATGGAAAAAGAAAACCAAAAATACGAATATAATTTTTTGGGGGGGGCAGGGGAATGTAATTAGTTCGGACTGTGACTCATTCCAGCAATGAGTAATGTCTACCAAGAATCAAGGAGCCGGCGCGGTGGCGCGCGCCTGTGGTCCCAGCACTTTGGGAAGCCGAGACGGGAGGACCACCTGAGCCCGGGAGGTCGAGGCTGCAGTGAGCCGAGATCGCGCCACTGCACTGCAGCCTGGGGGACGGAGAGAGACCCTGTCTTAAAAAAACCAAAACCCGAAAACCAAAAAACCGCACAGCGCGCCGCTTCCCCACCTCTCTGGGGCGCAGAAGGAGGTAAAGTTTGGCCCTCACGGTATTTACTTCCCCTGGGTCCTCGCCTCCTGAGAGGCTGGTCTTGGGCTGCGGCCGGGCCTCGCCGCGAGTTCCAGACCCGAGTTTCCGAGCCCGCGCTTCCCGGCCCGCAATCCTCTCAACCGCGTAACGATGCCGCGCCCGCCGCACGCCCCGCGACCCTCCCGGGATCTTAGTTCCCGCGCCCGGAAGATCGCACCACCGAGAGGGGAGCCGATCCGTAGCGCTCCTAGAGCGCCACCGGAAGTTTCCCAGGCGGGGCTTCTCGCGACTTCCGGTCGCGGCGGGCTGGCTGAGGTGCGGGCTTTGTCGGCGGGTTTGCGGAGCCCGCGCCCGCGGGGTCCAGTCAACGGCTGCGGGGTCGGGCTGGCGCCGTCCTCTCCCCGCCTGCGCCGGGTGAGTGGCGCGTTCCGGGCGGGGGCGGGCAACGCCTTAGCTGCAGTCCCGGCTGGCTCCGGAGCCCGGCGGCCTTGCCGGGGCAGAGTCCGCCGGGAGGGCCGGGCGGGGTCCGCAGGCCGCGGCCCGCCCCGCAGGGCGTCCAGGAGCGGGGCCTTGGCTAGCCCGTGTCCCGGACGCAGCCACGGCCGCCCCCGCGAGGCTGCAGCGTCTTTCCAGCCAGCCCACCTCGGACCCGAGCCTGGGGTCTTCTCCCTGAGGAGCGCCGTGTGGGTCCCCCTGGTTTCCTCCTCTTGCCCGAGCCGTAGAGCCGCGGGCTTGAGTTTCCGTGTCGCCGTGTTCAGGCCCGCCAGGCCTGCGTGGGGTTGATGCCGCAGAGATGTCTTACGGTGTGACGGGACTGGGTGTGGGCGTTCCCGCGGCTGTGCCTGAACCCTGCCTCCGCGCCCTGGGGCCTTGAGGCTTCCCAGTGCTGGAGGGGATGCAGCGCCAGCATCTTCCATGCTGTTGGGGGTAGGGGTGGGGAGGGAAACGTGATAAGCAGAATTAGAATTAAGTACAAGACTTGGTCCTGGAGGAGATTCCCAGATGGGAAGACGTGGTTTGGCAATCCTGCTTTTTCTCGAAGGTACCCTTTCCCTTTCAAGTCTTTAAGAATCCCAGTGGCAGCCGGGCGCGGTGGCTCACGCCTGTATTCCCAGCACTTTGGGAGGCCGAGACGGGGGATCGCGAGGTCAGGAGATCGAGACCATCCTGGCTGACACAGTGAAACCCCATCTCTACTAAAAAATACAAAAAACTAGCCGGGCGAGGTGGCGGCGCCTGTAGTCCCAGCTACTGGGGAGGCTGAGGCGGGAGAATGGCTTGAACCCAGGAGGCGGAGGTTGCAGTGAGCCAAAATCGAGCTAAGATCCGGCCACTGCACTCCAGCCTGGGCAACAGAGTGAGACTCCGCCTCAAAAAAAAAAAAAAAAGAATCCCAGTGGCATTCTCTGTGCTTATGTCAAGGCTGTCTTGTCCCCTTTACACATAGGCTACGTCATGGTCCAGCGACCCTCAGGGTCTGAGCAGCGCCTGGATGCGGGCCTCAGACTCGGGTAGTTGGTGTGAAGCAGCTCAGGGAGCTGCCGAGCTTGTTGGCGCTGCCTCAGGGTCATGGAAGATGACCCAGGAGAGGACACGGGGCTCCTCGTTATTCTTGGGCAGAGCGCTGAGCAGCATGCTGGTAGCAGAAGCCAAATGGCCTGCGTGGGGCGGGGGCAGTTGACAGCTGGCTCCAGTTCTCTGACCTGACGCTTGTTACCTCCCTGAACCTCTGCAGCATCTTGGGGAGCACCAGGAAAACAAGCGCTCCCTGCCTAGCGCGTGGCGCACGGTAGGCCCCTTGGTGTGGGGCGGGGCAAGGAGGTCCAGATGTTGGTGGAGCTCTAGTCCGTGGCCCACTCGGCTGCCCTCTGGCTGTGCTTTTCCTGTTTCCTAAGGGTGAAGCTTGGTGTTAATTTCTTCAGGCTGTAAGCAACACACAGTGACTCTGGCTGGGAGTTTGAGGCTGGAATATCCCCTTACCAGTGTGGGTGTAAGAGCTGGGGGCTTCTAGTGCCGGATGGGACACCCCTGGACACCCCAGGGCTGCTGTGGCTTCTGATGATACACAACATCTGCTGTTGAGACAACTTCAGGTGATTTTTATTTATTTTTTATTTATTTATTTATTTATTTGAGACGAAGTCTTGCTCTGTCGCCCAGGCTGGAGTGCAGTGGCATAATCTCGGCTCACTGCACCCCCAACCTCCCGGGTTCAAGTGATTCTTCTGCCTCAGCCTCCGGAGTTGCTGGGACTACAGGCATACGCCACCACGTCCGGCTAATTTTTGTATTTTTAGTAGAGACAAGGTTTCACCATATTGGCCAGGCTGGTCTCAAACTCCTGACCTCGTGATCCGCCCACCTCGGCTCCCAAAGTCTTGGGATTACAGGCGTGAGCCACGGCGCCTGTCCTCAGGTGATGTTTTATTCAGCAAATTCTGTGTTATAACAGGAGATGGGTCCATGCTAGCCAGTTTGTTGCGTGGAGCCACAAGTCAGGTGGCTTCTTTTTTTTTCATTTCATGTCAGTTTCTTTAAATGAAAGTGTATTGATTTAATTTTACTTAAATTCATAAAAGAAAAAGGAGCTAAGCAAAAACTGAAGATAGCTATTTTGAGATAACTGTTTCTTCGAAGCAAGATATTTGCAATTGTAAAAACTTTCTCTAGAGGCAGGCAGATCATGAGGTCAAGAGTTCGAGACCAGCCTGACCAACGTGGTGAAACTCCATCTCTACTAAGTACGGAAGTTAGCCAGATGTGGTGGCATGCACCTGTAATCCCAACTAGTCAGGAGGCTGAGGCAGGAGAATCGCTTGAACCAGGGAGGTGGAGGTTGCAGTGAGTGAAGATCACACCATTGCGCTCCAGCCTGGGCGACAGAGTGAGATTCCGTCTTAAAAAAAAAAAAAATTTTTCTCAAAAGTTAAAAAAATTATGAAAATCATTAAGAGGCACACATATGGCTTTAAGATATATTCTTTTTTTTTTTTTTTTTTTTTGAGACGGAGTCTCGCTGTGCTCCCAGGCTGGAGTGCAGTGGCGTGATCTCGGCTCACTGCAAGCTCCGCCTCCTGGGTTCACACCATTCTCCCGCCTCAGCCTCCCAAGTAGCTGAGACTACAGGCGCCCACCACCACGCCCGGCTAGTTTTTTGTATTTTTAGTAGAGACGGGGTTTCACCATGTTAGCCAGGATGGTCTCGATCTCCTGACCTCGTGATCCACCCGCCTCGGCCTCCCAAAGTGCTGGAATTACAGGCTTGAGCCACCGCGCCCGGCCTAAGATATATTCTTGTAAACAGAAACAGCTTGTTTCTGGCTGGGCGTGGTGGCTCACGCTTGTAATCCAATCCCAGCACTTTGGGAGGCTGAGGTGGGTGGATCACTTGAGGTCAGGAGTTTGAGACCAGCCTGGGTAATGTGGTGAAACCTCATCTGTACTAAAAATGCAAAAAAAATTAGCCGGGTGTGGTGGCAGGCGCCCGTAATCCCAGCTACTTGGGAGGCTGAGGCAGGAGAATAGCTTGAACACACAAGACGGAGATTGCGGTGAGCCGAAATTGTGCCACTGCACTCCAACCTGGGCGACAGAGCGAGACTCCGTCTCAAAAAACAAACAACAACAAAAAAAACAACTTATTTCCAGGTATTATAACAGCCATTTTAAAATTTAAAATCAGAAGGCATCACTGAGTTCCAAAACAAATAAGAAACCAACATCTCCAGCCCACCGTCCCCCCACTGGTTTTTTTGAGATGGAGTTTTGCTCTTGTTGCCCAGGCTGGAGTACAATGGTGCAATCTCAGCTCACTGCACCCTCTGCTGCCCGGTGTCAAGAGATTCTCCTGCCTCAGCCTGTTGAGAAGCCGGGATTACAGGCGTGTGCCACCACACCTGGCTAATTTTTGTATTTTAGTAGGAGATGGGGGTTTCACCATGGTTGGCGCAAGGCGGTCCGTTGACCTTCCTGAACCTCGGGGTGATCCTGCCTGCCTCACCTCCCCAATAGGTGGCTGGGATTACAGGATGAGCCACATGGCCGGCCCATCTCCTTTTATATTTTACTTATTTTAAATTTTTATTTATTTACTTTATTTGAGGTAGAGTTTGCTCTTTGTGGCAGGCTGGAGTGCAATGGCGCCATCTCTGCTCACTGCAGGCCTCACCTCCACCTCCACCTCCACCTGTCCGGGTTCAAAGCGCTCTCTGCCTCAGCCTCCCTAGTAGCTGGGATTACAGGCAAGATGTGCCACCGTGCCCAGCTTATTTTGATTTTTAGTGGAGATGGGTTTCTCCATGTTGGTCATGGCTGAGTCTCGAAACTCCTGACCTCAGGTGATGTGCCGCACCTCAGCCTCCCAAAGTGTTGGGATTACAGCTGTGAGTACTGGTGCCCAGCTTACTTTTTTTTTGAGATGAGTCTTGCTCTGTTACCCAGGGCTGGGGGCAAGTGGAGCAATCTCGGCTCACTGCAAAGCTCCGCCTCCTGGGTTCACGCCATTCTCCCTCCTCAGCCTCCCCAGTAGCTGGGACTACAGGCACCCGCCACCACGCCGGCTAATTTTTGTATTTTTAGTGAAACGGGTTTCACGTGTTAGCCAGATGGTCTCGATCTCCTGACCTCGTGATCCACCGCCTCGCCTCCCAAAATGCTGGAATTACAGGCGTGAGCCACCGCGCCTGCCTCTTTTTTTTTTTTTTTTTTGAGATGGAGTCTTGCCCTGTGACCCAGGCTGGAGTGCAATGGCGTGATCTCGGCTCACAGGCAACCTCTGCCCCTGGATAGCGCATTCTTCTGTCTTCAGGCTCCCGAAGTAGCTGGGACTAACAGGCATGCCACCCACCACGCCTGGCTAATTTTTTTTGTCTCTTTCATATGAGATGAGGTTCACCTTATTGTGCAGGTGGTCTTTGAACTCTCCATGATACCCTGTGATCTCTGCTCGCTGCTCTCCAAAATGCTGGGATTACTAGGCGTTGTGCTCACTGTCATCTGGCCTCTTTTTTAATAACAGGATGCTTGTTTTGGCCATGTTGACCAGGCTGGTTCTAACTCCTGAGGCTCAAGCAGTCTCACCTCCCTCAGCCTCCCCGAAATGCTGGCGCATTACAGGGTCGAAGCCCACCATGCCTGGCCAGTTGAATTTATCATCATGGGGAGAATTGCAATCTGAAATTTGGGTTGTTAATATAGCATTATTTAGATCGTAAGTTAGTTGCTTTACAGATTCGAGATTATGGTGTTTCAAATAAAAACTTGAGTTGTCATTATCTTCTCTTTTTTTTTTTTTTTTTTTTGAGGACGAGCGCTCTCGCTGTGTGGCCAGGGTGAGTGCAAGTGGCCCGGATCTCGAGCTCACGCAAGCTCACCATCCCAGGTACGCCATTTCCTCCCTGCCTCAACTCCGGAGTAGCTGGGACTACAGGCGCCCGCCACCACGCACCGGCTAAGTTTTTTTTATATTTTTTTTTTTAGTGTGGAGACGGGGTTTCACGATGTTTAGCCAGGAGTGGTCCTCGGATCTCCCTTGGAGCCTCGTGATCCACCTGCCTCGGCCTCCCAAAGTGCTGGGATTACAGGCTTGAGCCACCACGCCCGGCCGTCTTACTGTCTCTTAAAGGTAGGGGGTGGCCTCCAGGGACTCTGGCTGCCCTGCCTCATCAGCACTATGGGGAGGGGA